TCTCACTTTGTTGCCTGGGGTAGAGAAGGCTGTGGTATCATAGCTCACAGCAATCTCAAACTCTTGGGCTTAAGTGATCCTCTTGCCTTAGCCTCCTAAACAGCTGGGACTATAGGCAGCTGCCATAACACTTGGCTAGTTTTGGAAACAGAGTCTTACTCTTGCTCAAGCTGGTCTCGAACTCCTGAGCTCGAGCTATCCACCCACCTGGGCCTCCCAGAGTGCTAGGATTATAGCTGTGTCCATAATCCCCACTGTGCCAGCCCAGTTCCCACAACTGTTTGTGATGTTGATATTTGTGAAGAGTGTAGGCCAGTTGATTTGCAGAATGTCCCTTCGTTTTGATTTACTGATTGTTTCCTCTTGATTTTATTCGTGTTAAACATGGTTTCCAGGATTTTATTGGAGTTATATCTTTCTCAAGGCATCACATCAGGGAGGACCCTATATCAGTTTGTCTCATCACTGGGGCTAAGTTTGATCACTTGGTAAGGTGTTGTATGCCAGTCTTCTTCATTGTAAAGGTAATTTTTCCCTTCATAATTAGAAAGTTATTTTGTCAAGACGTTCTTTACCTCTTGCATCTTGGAGGAGAAAATTGGTGGAGAAAGAGATGTATTGGATACAACGAAGTAAATAAGTGGCATGCTTGCCCTGAAGGATGAAGAGCCAGCTGTGTGTGGGGATTGTGGTGGAAGAGAGAAGAGAATACCCCCATGTGAAGGGACCTTTTTCTTGGGGCCAGTAGGAACTTAAGGTATTTAGGAACCAGAAGGCAGCCACGGTATCTGGGATACAATGCAGGTTGAATGTCCCATAAAGATGATGAATAGATAGACCTGATAGTGAGAGGTCTTTTGTCTTATAACAAATCCTTCCTTCCTTGATCTATGGGGGCAGTCTGTACATTGCTGTTCTGTGGGTATAAATTTACCAATGGCTTTATATCCCAAAAAGATCCAGTGTGTCATCACCATCTGATTTTGTGACCACCACAGAATGGAATCAGAATCCATAGTTCTAGAGAAATCCCATGCCTGCTAATGAGTTGTGCTCCTCATTGATAAGACAGCGTACGCAGCCTTTCCAGTCAAAGGGACATGTCTGTGAGAGGACTAAGTTAGATGTGAGATGGCACTTTGTTATGGGATCCTTGTTGTACAACAGAAAGCCTGGGTGGTTTGAAAGGAGAAAGCTTGGACATGACATAGTGCTGCAGAGGGTCTGAGGGTAGGGAAGTGTGATGAAGAGTAGAAGAGCATGGATATGTCTGTAAGGCAGGGAAAGGCCTAAAGTAGCATATACTAGAATGAGCAGTACAGAAGTGATGACACAACAAGGGGCAGACTGCAGCAGGCATGTGTGGTGCTGGCCCACTGGGTTCCATGGCCCAAAAAGCACCCCAGCTTCATGCTGTGGAAATCAGTTTTGCAGGAAGGAATCTTCTTTCCTCGCCTGTAGTGAGTGTGCTTGAGTCATTTTCCTTGATAAGCTAAGGTTAAGTCAGATTATAAGAAGTATTCGTCATGTCACGAACTAGTTATATTTATATCTTCCTTATTTTACAACAGCTGTAAAATACATATTAATATTCAAAGAAACCCTGCTAACTGATTTTACTGCCTTGATTCTGAACAATAAAGATTCACTTTCCAACCCAAACATAATTAGACTTGGCCCATGTTCAGGTTTTGACAATGTTATTGTTTGTATTTTACACGCTATGTTCTTGGTTCCCTTCCTTTGGAGTTTATTCCCTCTGCCTGTTTCTGATAAGCCAGTCTAACTGGTTGGACTTTGTATATAAATGTTTAAAAGGAACAATTTGTGGTGCTTGCACGGTTCTTTTCAGAGAAATAATCAGAGTACAGTGGAGTCCTAGACCCTGCAACTGTGGGCAGTGTTCTTAACCTTGTTTTTCCCTAGACTACCAGTAATAATAATAATGCCAATTGTTCAATGGTGCCCTGTCCACCTAATACAGATCAATGAGGAGATGGTAGGAGACAAAATTTTTCAGCTATAGCACCTAGCCAGCTGTGGTGGAGCAATCTCTTCTCTCCCTATACCATGAGTTTTGTGCCCTTAAGGACTTTGATGGAGAGCTAGCAGAAAATGCTTCTGCCTACTCCCAGAGAGCCTTCAGAACCAGAGGGGGCTGCCTGTTTGTATACATAACACAAGAGCCTGACTCAGAGAGCAAACTTGATTTGTGGAGGTCACGGCCCTGATCCATTTCAAATCTAACAGAAAGTACTGATAAGTAGGAGAAGAAATTCATAGACCTGAAATACATAGACTAGGTATAAATGTTATAAATGAGTGAAAACTCTACCTTGCGTGACTTTGTAGGTAAAGAGGGTGTTTGAAATAGGCAGGTGCGTGACTTGTCTGACAGGTTTTGAGTTGTTAGTGGCATGGGACTCTTGAGAACTGTTCGACTTAATTAGTTCTGATAATATGTGCATGTCTGAAGCAGGCCATAAAAATGGCTGTTTTAATCAGCTGTTGACATGCAAGGTCAGGCAGTAGCCTCCAGCACTGGCACCTGGGATGCCAGTGACTGATAACTCAGAAAGAGGCATGAGGAGAGACTCAGTGCTTCTAAGGGCATTGATAGTTGTCTCTGCCCAAGATAGAAATAGGACTCAGGCAGGTAGATGGACTCTATTAACCCACAGAATAGTGTTTATTTTGAGATGTTAAACATTTTTTATCATCATCATTATGTTATCTTGTTATTATTCTGTTTTCCCTTGAGAGGATACAGATCTGGGTACTATAGTTTCAGTCTTTGTGTTTCATTTCCTATTGCTGAAACAGACCTGAAGCCTCATTCTGTGTGGTTTTAAGAATCTATCCAGGCAAGATCAGATACCTGATAGAACCTCAGGGGCTTTCTCCTGGGCAGCGCCTGTGGCTCAGTGAGTAAGGCATTGGCCCCATATACTGAGGGTGGCGGGTTCAAACCCGGGACCAGCCAAACTGCAACAAAAAAATAGCTGGGCATTGTGGCAGGCGCCTGTAGTCCCAGCTACTCAGGAGGCTGAGGCAAGAGAATTGCCTAAGCCCAAGAGTTGGAGGTTGCTGTGAGCTGTGACGCCACTGTACTCTGTGAGACTCTGTCTCTTTAAAAAAAAAAAAAAACAGAGAGAGAGAGAGCTTTCTCCTGAAATGACCAATGGGGTAGACAGATTTTTCTGTATAGGACTCTGAAATAATGGAATGATAATGAATTTACTGAAAATTTCTGTCTTAGAGTTAGGCCAGGCCAGAAATAGCACTAGGTTTCCATCATGTATATGTCTGAGTGCCTGTTGAGAACTCAACCTCTGCTGATAATTGTAGCTGGAACAGTTGCTGAAGAAATACAAGATATGTTTTCCTACCTTGAGGAATTTATAGTCCAGTATAGTTGAAGACATAGCTTCTAAAAGGCATCTGGGCTTGGCGCCTGTAGCTCAGTCGTTAGGGTGCTGGCCACATACACTAGGGCTGATGGGTTTAAACCTAGCCTGGACATGCTAAACAACAATGACAACTACAACAACAACAAAAAATATAGCCAGGTGGGTTGGCGCCCGTGGCTCAAAGGAGTAGGGTGCTGACCCCATATGCCAGAGGGTGGGTTCAAGCCCAGCCCTGGTCAAAAACTGCAAAAAAAAAAAAAAAAAAAAAAATAGCTGGGTGTTATGGTGGGTGCCTGAAGTCCCAGCTACTTGGAAGAGTGAGGCAAGAGAATTGCTTAAGCCCAAGAATTTGAGGTTGTTGTGAGCTTTGAGGCCATGGCACTCTACCGAGGGTGATATAGTGAGATTCTGTCTCAAAAATAAATAAATGAATAAAATAAAAATAAAAGGCATCTGATCCAGCCAGACAGAACTAGTTACATGCAATCCCACGGTGGCTTGTTTATCAGTCCATCAGCCAGTAAAGCCAGATGGAGCTCTTTGGCCAAGAGCTGCTCCCCTGTGGCCAGCCCAGGGTATTGGCATCTTGGTAGGAGGGAGACTTTGATTGTCAAGGCAAGAGCTGTCCGTTACAGATCATGATTTTTGAGTTCATTCTTTCTTTCTTGTCTTGGTTTTCTGGGCCCCAAAATGGCACTGGCTTATTGATATGGATACATATAATAATAGTGTAGATTTTGTCAAGTATACCAGCCACTTTGGCTTTGAGCTTCAAAAACCAATGTACTTTTAATGACAGTAATTCCCCCCAATGTTTATATAGAGTTGTCTTTTTTCCTGGTGAATAAAAAATGTTCTAGATTCTTCTGAGTGGCTTAAAGCAAGCCATAGATTACTTTCCATGTACTTTTTTCCTGTGGTTGTGAGTGTTGGGTTATACTCACCTCCCATTCACCTCCCATGGGCAGAAAATGACAAATTACTTGAGGAAACAAGTTGCTAGCTGAATTTCTTAAGCAAAGAGAAAGATATAAATAAAAGAGAGAAGAGGAAATGGGGAAACAGTTTGAACCACCAAGTCAACCTGCCCTGAGATCAATAAGAACAGCAGGGATGAGAGGGGTCAGAAGAGGGTGAGCCAGTTCTATTCCACTTCTCAGAAAAGATGAAGAGTGTGCTTGTGAGGAAATCCCCAGTGCCCAGGATGGCATTTCCCCATGTGGGAAAAAGCATGTTCTCTTCTAATGTGGTTTATAGGTTGCTGTGACATGCTGAGTGCTGGCCTTTTCCTGAGAGTCCCTGACATATTATGGGGACTTGGCCTTTGTGGTAGCTAAACTGCTAAGGGAGCTTAAGTCCACTCCTGCCCTATTTTGACCTGGAGCAAGTTGTTACTCAGTTTACCATCTTCTGTTTGAGCTCTGAAGGGCTGCAGAGCATGCCCTAGCCCCAGAAGATGAAGAGCCTGGGTTACGGAAGGGTCACTCTTAAAATGTTGGCATTCACACAATTCTAGATAGAGTATACTCATTTTGGAACCTGGATTCCCATAGTCATTTTCCCTTTCTCTCCTCACCTTTTGAACCACAGACTCTGGCTTGGTTGTCCCAAGTGTTTCCTATGAGCTGCATAAAAAACTGCTGTCCGTGGCTGAGAAGCATGGGCTGACCCTGGAGCGGAGACTGGAAATGACAGGCGTGTGTGCCAGTCAGATGGCACTGACCCTCCTTGGAGGACCCAACAGGTAAATAAATGCCTTTCAATGCGCAGGGGCCGAGTGTAAAGTGGGGATGCTCTCCCTCATGTACACATTGGAGAGTTTGTTAGACAGTTGCTGCTCATCTAATGTGAAGATCTCTTTGAAGCCACTCTCCTGGATTCTGCTGGCTTTGTTTGCTCCCTTACTCATCTCCTGAAGTCCTTATTCTCCCAGCAAGCCACCCTTTGACCCTTTCTTTCCCATAGCAGCTATCTGGCTTTGCGACTCCTGCTAAATACATGTTTCAGTGGCCTTCCTTCTAGGAACCTTCAGAGACCTGGCCTTTGGTACTCTTGTTAACTTTTAAGTAGCTGGGATATAAATCAGTCCTGAGCTTCATACCAAAGAACTTCTAGAACCACCCTGATAACTGGGTAGGGGATCAGGGTTTGGGCATCTTTCCACCTGTCTCTTGGGCTTATATGTCAGGAGTAGTGCTTTATTTGTAGGCATTAGTGATGACCATGTACCAGACCTTATGCTAGCCACTGAGGATGCAAAGAACAATAAAAAACTCCTTCTGCCTTCCAGTAGCCTTATGGAGTCCCCAGAAGGAACACTGTTGGAGGGCAGCGCCTGTGGCTCAGTGGGTGGGGTGCCAGCCCCATATACTGAGGGTGGCAGGTTCAAACCCAGCCCCGGCTGAACTGCAACCAAAAAATAGCCAGGCGTTGCGGCGGGCACCTGTAATCCCTGCTACTTGGGAGGCTGAGGCAAGAGAATCGCCTAAGCCCAGGAGTTGGAGGTTGCTATGAGCTGTGTGACGCCACGGCACTCTACTGAGGGTGATAAAGTGAGACTCTGTTTCTACAAAAAAAAAAAAGCCCAGGAGTTGGAGGTTACTGTGAGCTGTGATGCTACAGCACTCTACCAAGGGTGACTTGGTGAGACTTTGTCTCGAAAAAAAGATGCCTTTGCTGCACTGTGGACAGTTGACTGAATAGAAGCAGAACTGAAGGCAGTGAGACCAGTTAGAAAACTGTAACTTAGAAATTTGAGCCAGGGCCTAAGATGATGGTGATCCAGACAGGTAAGTAAGGATCAGAAGAGTGGACATATGAGTGATTTTTTTTTTTTTTGAGGTAAATTCAGCAGGGTAAAGTAATTGAATTGTTGTTGGAAATAATGGAAAGTAGGATGTTGGTGATTAGTGAACTTTAAGCTTTCCAGCTTGGACACTTAGTTGAATGCTGGTAACATTCACTATGATAGGGAATGTGGGAAGAGGAGCAGGTTTGGGGAGATAGTGGGTTTTGTTTTGGATGTGTTGGGTTTGGAATACTTGTGAGATATTCAAATGTACTGTTAGCTATATGGATTTGACGTTCAGAAAAGGGTATGCGCTGAAGCTAAAGATTTGGGAGTTGTCTGCCTGTAAATGGTATAAGAATAGATGAAGTCTTCTAAGGGAGAGTGTGGAAAGGGCCTAGGATGGGATTCACAAGTATTTAAGGCATAGTTGTGAGGATGAGGAAGAAATCTGAAGAGATAAGACAAACAAGAGGATAGTGTGTAAAACCCAAGGAAATAGTATTTGAAGAATAAAGGAATGATCGCCAGTTGTACTGCTGAGAGATTGAGATAAAGCAAAATCATAATTGACAAGTGTGTTTGGATTTATCAATAGAAAGGAGAACAATGGCAACCTTGGCATTGTTGTGGTGTCTTGAGGGAAAAAGTGGCTTCCAAGGAACAGGGTGGACTTGGGTTCAGCAGGGCAAGGAAAGCCTCGTTTCCCTGAGCAGCACTTACAGATCTGGAGCCTGATACAATGGGATGTTACTTCCCATGGAGCCCCTTTCCTGTTTTGGAAATGGAACCCTTGTCCTTGGCTTGTGCTTACAGACAGCCATGGTGTTTGGAGAACCTTGCCAGAATACTGATACTGCAGTAAACCCCACAGTTCCTCACTCCAGCCTCTTTCCATTCTGGCCTGATAATGCTGTGTTTGCATGGGAGGCATCTGATTCTAAAATGATCTTGATTAAAGTAGATTTGTCCAAGGTGGGTGTGAGATCTTCCCTCCTTACTCCTCTACTTCCCTTTTTTCCATTTGAGGTGAGCAGGGGGTGGTCATTCCTTCTTGTCCTTGAATTTAGGCCTGCTTCCCAGGTGTGTGGGATCCCTGGCCTCTCCTGTGCCAAGGAAGAGCCAATGGAGATGCCTGAAGGAGCACTGAGCTGTAGGAGCTGGTGTCTACTGCACCTCCTCCCAGAGTAGCCATTGGGGAAGCTCCTGGAATATGCGCCTCCACGGGTATTTGAAGCCATTAAGGGACTTCCTAAAACAGTAATCTTGGGGGCAGGAATTGAATGTCCTCACCAAGTTATGTTTCTCTCTAGCAAGCTCCTTGGTCCTGGCCGTATTTGAGCTTGCCTTTTCTCTAAGTATCTAAACTCAGAAGGTCCATTTCCTTTCCTTTGCAGCAGTTGCTGGTTTTCCTTTGAGAAATCAAACCCATGTTTAGTAACCTTGAAGTTTAACATGTCAATGCCATGCCGTTTTCACAACAAAATATAATGTGATCCTCAGCTCAAAGGTAAATAATAGCTTCATGTTTTAAGATGAGCAAGCTATAACTCAGACAGCTGAAGGACTTGCCCACATGATGCTGCAGGTAGAGCCTGGTCTCTGCTCTGCATGGGTCTGTTTCCATGCCTGTACTCTGCCCCCTGCAGCTGATGTGTGGATACTGTGCTCTGCTTTGATTCTTTTGGTGGAGCTTTGGTGGTGGCCTCAGTGAAAGAGAGAGCCTGTTTAGAAAACAGGGTGCGGCTCAGCACCTGTGGCTCAAGTGGCTAAGGCACCTGCCATATACACCTAAGGTGGCGGGTTCGAATCCAGCCCGGGCCCGCCAAACAACAATGATGGCTGCAACCAAAAAAAATAGCCAGGCATTGTGGTGGGTGCCTGTGGTCCCAGCTACTTGGGAGGCAGAGGCAGGAGACTCACTTGAGCCTAGGAGTTGGAGGTTGCTGTGAGCTATGCTGTGATGCCACAGCACTCTACCCAGGGGGACAGCTTGAGGCTCTGTCTCGAAAAAAAAGAAAACAGGATGGGTCATAGCTGGGCGTTTTGGTGGGCCCCTGTAGTCCCAGCTACTTGGGAGGCTAAGGCAAGAGAATCACTTGAGCCCAAGAGTTTGAGGTTGCTGTGAGCTATTATACCAGAGCACTCCACTGAGAGTGACAAAGTAAGACTCTAAAAAAAGAAAAAAAAAAAAAACCCCCGGGGTGAGTCAGATGCCAGAACTGCAGCATCTCTCTGGAGGGAGAAGTACTTCCAGTATTTCCTTTAAATGTAAAAGTAGGCTTGGTGCCTGTAGCTCAACTGGCTAAGGCGCCAGCCACATACACCAAAGCTGGTGGGTTCAAATCCAGCCCGGGCCTGCCAAACAACAATGACAACTACAACCAAAAAATAGCTGGGCGTTGTGGCGGGCGCCTGTAGTCTCTGCCACTTGGGAGGCTGAGGCAAGCAAAAGAATCACTTAAGCCCAGGAGTTGGAGGTTACTGTGAGCTGTGATGCCATAGCACTCTACCCAGGGTGACAGCTTGAGGCTCTGTCTCAAATAAATAAGTAAATAATGTAAAAGTAGTGGGTAAAATGAACGGCTTGGTGTCATTGTGTAGAGTACATTGCTAAATTCCCCAAAATTTATTTCACAAGGGGGTTAGTTATGAAGTGCCTCTTTGGCTTGACAGCATTTGTCTTCCTCTCTTTGGAAAACTAGTAAGTGAATTCCCCTGGTCTTCCCCTAAGGGTACAACCACATTCTTGCTGTCTATCTTCTCCCTATCTTGCTGCCCCGTGAGCCAACTGTACTGCCCATGAGTTGGGCAGAGCTCCAGAGCTAATCCTCCATACCACCTTACTTGTGGCTTCTCTGAGGCCATAGGAGTCTCAGCTTTAACTAGCAGGAAACTGCAAGCAACTACTTGATTTAAGGCAGATGCCAGCCTAGGAGACAGCCCCTAGCATCTGCTTTCTTAATGATCAGTATTGATTGAGCACTTCCTACGCGTTGGGCACTGCTGTGCATCCAGTAGTTCACACAGTGTCCTATGAAATAGGTATTGTTAATATCTACAGCATTGCTTATCTGTGTTAGTACACTAATAAGCTCAGTAAAGAGAATGACAACTAATTGAGAACTATCTTTATTGGTACTTTCTGTAAGTTTATTACAGTTTATTAAGTTGGGAAAAGGAGGTGGGAAAAGGAAAAAATGGGAGCCAGAGTAATCCCAGAAAAGGTAAGCCTTGAGCTGGATCTCCAAGAAAAGGCAGGTCAGAGTTTGGAAAGTGAATGGCCGTCTGGGCAGGGAACCTAGTCTGAGCATAAGCAGGGAAGAACTTCACAAGCACAGGAGAGAATGAGACCAGCCTTGCTGAGTGGGGCAAACATGTTGGGGAAGAAGAGCCGAGAAGACTGCAGAGGTGGCAAAAACTCTTTGGTATGCAGAATTTGGACCTAATAGGCTACCCAGGGGAAACCATTAAGTATTCATGGGTCAGAAATCAGTTTTCTGGCAACAGTATTATTGGAACAAGATCTGGTAGAAGGCCTAGTCAGAGGAACCAGCAATGAAGTGCTGCTGGGGTGTGAGACAAGGGAAATAACACTCTGTAGCCCTTGCCTGCAACGGATTTTGGCTCCCTCTGGAGCTTGGGACTTGGTAAGGAGGGGGAGAGAGCTCAGAGAACAGCAGGTACCTACTGGAAATTTTCTGATAGGGGATGCAAGGGATTAATACTGCTTCACCTTCTGTTCCAGGTTGAATCCAAAAAATGTTCACCAGAGGCCTACAGTGGCCCTACTATGTGGGCCCCATGTGAAGGGGGCTCAAGGCATCAGCTGTGGAAGGCACCTAGCCAACCATGATGTCCAGGTCATCCTCTTCCTGCCCAACTTTGTCAAGATGCTAGAGTCCATCACCAATGAGCTGTCACTCTTCAGCAAGACCCAAGGCCAACAAGTGTCTAGCCTCAAAGGTGAGGATTTAACATAGGGTGGGACTGAAGGTGTCTTCCCTTCTTGTACGTTTGATGCTCTTGTGCCATCTAGTGGTGATGGATGGGAAGGCACCACATGTGTAAGGAGGGTGACCGCTGCCTCTGAAAAGTCTTAGTAGAGCTGTGATACATTTGATATTGATGTGCCTACTTCCCATCTCCTCCCCCTTCTTCCTCTTCCACTACTTAGATGAGAACTGGAGATCCATTTATTCATTTCACAATATTTATGGAACAAGTACTGTTCCTAATGCTTAGAATATGGGAAAAGATTTTTTTAAATCCATTCTTCCATAGAGTGTATACTGGTTAGGAGAGATGAACACACAAACATATTAGGTCGGATGATAGTAAGTGTTATGGAGAAAAAGCAGGCAAAGTAGATACAGAGGATTGGGCAGGGAGTAGAAGACTTAGGCATCTCGGGGTCAGGTCATGAAGGGCATGGATCTCTAAAAGGGCTTGGGCTTTTATTCTGGGTTTGTTTTTTCTTTGTCTTTCTTTTTTTTTTTAAGACAGCGTCTCACTTTGTCACCTGGGCTAGAGGGCCGTGGCATCATAGCTCTCAACAACCTTAAACTCTTGGGCTCAAGCTGTCCTCTTGCCTCAGTCTCCAAAGTGGCTGGGATTACAGAAACCCACCACAACACCCAGATAGTTTTTCTACTTTTAGTAGAGACCGGGTCTCTACTCTTACTCAGGCTGGTCTCAAACTCCTGAGCTCAAGCAATCCGCCTGCCTTGGTCTCCCAGAGTGCTGGGATTATAGGCATGAGCCACCGTACCTAGCCTTTATTTTGTTTTGTTTTCTTTTTTCTGGAAGAGGTGCTTTTATTATGGGTGTGATGGAGAGTCATTGGAGGAATAAGTAGAGGATTTATATAATCCAACTTAGGTTCCAAACAATTATGCTGGGTGCTGTTTGAGAGTATACTATAAGAGAACAAAGAGGCTTGGCGCCTGTGGCTCAAGTGGCTGAGGCGCCAGCCACATACACCTAAGGTGGTGGGTTCGAATCCAGCCCAGGCCCACCAAACAACAATGACAGCTGCAACCAAAAAAAAAAAAAAAAATTAGCCAGGCATTGTGGCGGGTGCCTGTGGTCCCAGCTACTTGGGAGGCTGAGGCAGGAGACTCGCCTGAGCCCAGGATTTGGAGGTTGCTGTGAGCTGTGATGCCATGGCACTCTACCCCGGGGGACAGCTTGAGGCTTTGTCTTAAAAAAAAAGAGAACAAAGAGTTGTTAAGAGCTGTTGTGATCACTGGAGAGAGAAATGATGGTGGCTAAGACAGGTACAGTGGAAGAGGTGGTGAAAGTGGTTAGTTTTTCAATCAGTTTTAAAGATAGAATTCACAAACAGGATGTAGAGGGTAAAGGAGAAGAGTTTAAAATGACTAGCCAAGCTGGGCACGGTGGCTCACGCCTGTAATCCTAATACTCTAGGAGGCTTAAGCAGGTGGATTGCTTGAGCTGATGAATTCGAGACCAACCTGAGCAAAAAGCGAGACCCTGTCTCTATTAAAAATAGAAAAACTGAGGCAAGAGGATCACTTGAACCAAAGAGTTGGAGGTTACCATGAGCCATGATGCCATGGCATTCTACCCAGGGTAACAGCTTGAGACTCTGTCTCAAAAAAAAAAAAAAAAAAAAAAAGAATGAGTAGCCAGGCACAGTGGCTTACACCTGTAATCCTAGCATTTGGGGAGTCTGAAATAGGAGGATCACTTGAAGCCGGGAGATTAAGGCCAGCCTGGGCAACATAGTGAGAACCCTATCTTTACAAAAAAATTTTATTCTTATTTATTTATTTATTTTGCAGTTTTTGGCCAGGGCTGGGTTTGAACCCACCACCTCCAGCATATGGGGTTGGCGCCCTACTCCTTTGAGCCACAGGTGCCGCCCTACAAAAAACTTTTAAAAATTATCTGGGCACAATACATGCACCTGTCAACTGCTTAGAAGACTGAGGCAGAAGGATCACTTGAGCTTAGGAGTTCGAGGTTACAGTGAGCTGTTACTGTGCCACTGTACTCCAGCCTAGGCAACAAAACAAAACTCTGTCTCTAAAAAAAAAATTTCAAAATAAAAAGTTAAAAAAATTTAAGAATTTATAGTAGGGGATTATAAATAAAGGAAGTCATCATGTTTCTCTATTCTCAAGACAATAATTACAATGACAGTATTTCTATAAATTAATTGAGAATGTTACAAAACAACAGATTGGCTGTACCAGGAGGTATGTTGGCTACAACTATAAAGAAAGCATTACAGGCTCGGCACCTGTGGCTCAAGCGCCTAAGGTGCCAGCCACATACACCTAAGGTGGCGGGTTCGAATCCCCAGCCCGGGCCCGCCAAACAACAATGATGGCTGCAACCAAAAAATGGCCAGGCGTTGTGGCGGGCGCCTGTAGTCCCAGCTACTTGGGAAGCTGAGGCAGGAGACTCGCTTGAGCCCAGGAGTTGGAGGTTGCTGTGAGCGTGATGCCATGGCACTCTACCCAGGGGGATAGCTTGAGGCTCTGTCTCAAAAAAAAAAAAAAGAAAGAAAGAAAGCATTACAAAACTGGGCGTGGTGGTGCAAGCCTATAGTCCTAGCTACTTGGGAGGTTGAGGTAGTCAGATTACTTCAGCCCAGAAGTTCAAGGTTGCAGTAAACTGTGATCACACCACTGTACTCCAGCCTGGGCAACAGAGGGAAGACCTTTCTTCCTTCCCCTTCCCCTTCCCCTCCCCTTCCCCTCCCCTTTCCCCCTTGCTCTTCCTCTCTCCCCCCCCCCCACACACACACAAAAAAAAAGAAAAGAAAAGAATGACTCCAAGGATTGTGGCCTGAGTAATAAGGTGTGTGATCACAGAGATGGGAAGATTTGTGGAGGAGAAGGCTTGGGGAAGAAGAGCAGAAGCTCAGTTTGGCTGGCAAGCAAGCCTATTGGATATACAGGTGGAAAAGCTGATTGGGCCAGAGTTATGTGAATCTAGAGGTTAAGTGAAAGGATCTAACCTAGAGTTACAGTTCTGTACTACAAGATTGCTTGAGCACATTGGTTGCCTTCCCAGAGCACATAATATTTAAGCCATGATAAGCCTGGATATAATACCACCTAGGAAAAGAGTAGAGAAGTTGGAAGCAGTGGCATGTGCCTGTCGACCCAGCTACTGGGGAGGCTAAGGTGGGAAGGTTGCTTGAGCACATTGGTTGTTTGACAGAAGAAAAAAGAAAGATGTTACAAGACCGAGTTCTTTGAACTCTTTGTTTAGAAGTCAAAGAATGGAGAACCCAGCCTAGGAGAAACAGGGTAGGAATTGTCAGTGAGAGAGAAGGAAAAACAAGTATGGTAGCTGAAGACCAAGTGAAGAAAGGAGTATATAATCATCAGTATCAGCAAGCCCCATTCAAGGTTAAGCTCAAAGGAAGACTGGGAATTGAACACTGGATTTAGCAGTGTGGAGGCCTCTGGTGAGCTTGACAAGAGCAGTTTTAAGTAGAGTGGTAAGGGCAAAGTCTGCAGTAAGTCTAAGTGAAAATGTGGGTAGAAGAAATGGAAAGAGCAAATATGGCCAGAGAAAGGGCCTTGCCAGAGGTCAAATGGTGAGTCAGGGACAAAGCCTAGACCAGTTTAACCAGGCTCCTGTAGGCACCCAGAAGATAGAACATCACTGTCACTCTTGAGATCCTCATGGCCCAGAGGGACTCACATGGCAGTACATTATAAGAAGGGAAGCCATGGGTTGAGAAATGCCGTTACTCTAAGCTAGGGGGTGTCCAAACTTTTTTCTTTTCTGCTACACATTGGAAGAATAAGACTTGTCATGAGCCACACAGTAAATACACAAACACTAATAAAAGCTGATAAACAAATAAGGGCTGTGCATACTTTTCCTGATATCCAACATGAAAGCAAAAAAAGTCCCTATAAAATCAGCAAGCAGCCCATGGGCTACAGGTTGAACACCCCTACTAGGCCAAGAGCTGAGAATGGGACCTGGTATGGGTTTCCCTACTTGACATCTTGAACATGATGTCCCATTGTAGGCAGTTCTTCCTGTGGCTCCCCAGGTTTCCTATCTCAGTCACTCCAGTAGACAAATCTGAGAATGACAGCCTCTAAGTTTGGTATAACTTCTGCTATTTTAGGTTTAACCTCTTAGGCCAGTCCAAGATATACATACTTATTTTATGTGGTGGTTGTTGGGGGTTTTTTTTCTGAGACACAGTCTCACTATGTGGCCCTTGGTAAAGTGCCATGACGTCACAGCTCACAGCAACCTCAAATTCTTGGGCTTAAGTGATTCTCTTGCCTCAGCCTCCCAAGTAACTGGAACTACAGGTGCCCACCACAATACCTGGCTATTTTTTGGTTGCAGTTGTCATTGTTGTTTAGCAGGCCTGGGCTGGGCTCGAACCTACCTGCCTTGGTGTATGTGGCTGGCACCCTACTCACTAAGCTTTAAGCACCGAGCTTATATACTTATTTTTAGGGTGTGTGTGTGTGTGTGTGTATGTGTGTGTTTTGAGACAGAGTCTCACTTTGTTTGCCCTCAGTAGAGTGCTAATAGCATCATAGCTCACAGCAACTCCTGGGCTCAAGCAATCCTCTTGCCTCACCCTCCCACGTAGCTGGGACTACAGGTGCCCACTACAACGCCCAGCTATTTTTAGAGATAGGAGTCTTGCTCTTGCTGGTCTCGAACTCCTGAAGCTCAAGCAATTCACCTGCCTTGGTCTTCCAGAGTGTTAGGATTACAGGTGTGAGCCACTGTACCTGGCAAGATACACATACCTGTTGAGACATCCTGCTCTTTATTTTGTTATTTTTATTTATTAATTTTTTTGAGACAGAGCCTCAAGCTGTCACCCTGGGTAGAGTGACATCACAGCTTACAGCAACTTCCAACTCCTGGGCTCAAGTGATTCTCCTGCCTCTGCCTCCCAAGTAGCTGGGACTACAGGCACCTGCCACGACACCCGGCTATCTTTTTTGGTTGCAGCCATCATTGTTTGGCAGGCCTCGGCTGGATTAGAACCCACCAGCTCAGGTGTATGTGGCTGGTGCCTTAGCTGCTTGAGCCATGGGCGCTGAGCCCCGACATCCTGCTCTTATGTTGTCCCCATTTTAAATGCCTGGGAAAATGGTGTTAGGTTCCCTCCTCATTCTTAAGGTTGGCCTGAGTGAGATAATAGGAGAGCCGGCTGGCTAAAATAGATTGAGTAGGCCAGCGCAGAGTAGAATAATTAGGCGTTCACTTGCTCACCCTTCTTGGGTCAGTCAACAAAGAGCAGTCAGCACCAGTTTTTGCTGAGCCCTGAGCAGGGCTTCCCTGTGAGGACAAACTTGACAGTAGATTCTACCTTTCCAAAGCTTATAATATATTTAGGGTATTAGTCAGATATACGAAGATTTGCCTCGACAAGGCAGAGGAGGTGAGGGCTGGAGAAACTCTGCACATACTCAGCAGGACAATGCTTCAGCCTGGAAGCTCCAGGAGGGCAGTGGTGTGTCAGGCTGACATACTCTTGTCTGTAGCACCCAACCCAACCATGCCTTGGAACTCTCAGGGCCTATGTCTTGGCCCAGCCTTGAGAAGACCAGCCTTTAGAGTGGTGTCTTTGTCTGGAGAACTAAACACTTTTTTTTTTTTGGCAGTTTTTGGCTGGGGCTGGGTTTGAACCGGCACCTCCAGTATATATGGGGCCGGCGCCCTACGCCTTGAGCCACAGGCGCTGTCCAACACTTATTTTGTTGTTGTTGGAGGCAGAGTCTCACTATTTCTTTTTGTTGTTGCAGTTGTCATTGTTGCTCAGCTGGCCCAGGCTGGGTTCAAACCCACCAGCCTTGGGTGTAAGTGGCTGGCGCCCTAACTACTGTGCTACGAGTGCTGAGCCAAAACTTAACACTCTTGGGCCACCTGGGCTCTAGTCCCAACCTGGGCTGCTCTCTGCTTATAGGAATTTTCACATGGCACTCTTTCCACCTGCAGATCTGCCCACTAGCCCTGTGGACCTGGTCATCAACTGCCTGGATTGCCCTGAGAATGCCTTCCTACGGGATCAGCCCTGGTACAAGGCAGCTGTGGCCTGGGCCAATCAGAACCGAGCTCCAGTACTCAGCATAGACCCTCCTGTGCATGAAGTTGAACAGGGCATTGATGCCAAATGGTCACTGGCACTAGGCCTGCCTCTGCCACTGGGAGAGCACGCAGGCCGCATCTATTTGTGTGACATCGGCATTCCCCAGCAAGTCTTCCAGGAAGTGGGCATCAACTACCACTCACCCTTTGGCTGCAAATTTGTTATCCCACTGCATTCTGCCTAGGGGGCCCTGGTCAGGCTGGATCCTGCAAATCCCTGCTGCTCCTGACACTGAACCTGATGATGAACGCCTTAAGGATGTGAAGTTTCATGGACCTTGTTGTTAAAGTTTTCCTCTTTTGGGTTTGTTTCTTCTGTGAGAGAGAACAGAACTTACTTGCCTAAAATTGACCTGTCACCTGCCCCTAGCCAGGGAAGGCTTTCCCACTGGGTGTGCAGGGCCGGCTGACAGGCCAAGTGCATAGTTGCTCCAGGTATCTCTACCCTTGGCCTCTTGTGTGGCCAGGTGGGCCTCTGTTTACAGAAATAGGCAGCTTTCTGACTGTGTTTCAGGTTTACAGCCACTGGGCCTGGGCGAGCACCTTGAAGGGTGGGCCAGGTCCTGTTTGGGGCCTGTACCTGCTCTATTTCAGAGCTTGTGGCTTTGTGACTCCCCTGCTTACCCACTGCTGCTCAGCCCTTCCCCTAATCATGTAGAACTGGCTGCATGGCAGGTGTCCACTAGAGGGCAGACCTGCATGCGCCATTCATTTTATGGGCTGTGACAGACTAGGCCTGCCCCACCTAACCCTATCCCAGGTTAATGTGGGGGCTTTTGACCCTTTCTCCTGAGCTGATCTGTGTTTTTTGCTGGGATTTTTCCAAGGGTCTTTAATTTCTTTACTCTCCACCATTCAGAGATAGGGAAGGGGACAGCGTCAGGATGGTGTTACTGTATCGGGATTTTATACTGTTCTTCTGTTGTCTTCAGCACAGGTAGTATAAAGTTTTGTTACTGTAGAACCTCAGTGCCCATCTTGCCAGCAGTGCCCCCACTTCCCCAGCTGGGCTGAGCCTTTGCCTAGGCTGGGCCAGACCCCTCAGGGTGCAGCTTTAAAGTTCAGTATTGGGGAGGCCCCTGGGGGAGCCTGGTGCTGAGACAGAAGAGGCTCCCTGGTGCTTCTGTCCTAGGCCACCAATCCCCCCACCCCCTTGCCTGCACATCCATACCCTCTGCTCTTCTCCTGAAATGGTCCTCTGCAGCTATCACCATAGAGCAGGGTGCATGTCCCTCCCTTGCCTGGGCTCCACCTCAGCTCTTGTAACAGCTAGACTTTGTATGGGTCCCCACTTTGGATGAGTCAGCTTGGGGCCAGCACTGTCTCAGAGATGACAAAACAAGGCTAGTTCTGGATGAGCTAACTGGTGGACTTCAGCCATAGGAACATACTGCTGCTCAGATCCTAAGGCACTGAGGCCCAGGATCTTCCCAGGCCTAGGCCCTGAAGGGTGGTAGAACAAGGAGCCATGCCTGGAACCCTGGCAGGGACCCTTGCAAAGGATTTGTGCTTAAGCCTTTTAGGCTTCCTTCTGCTGTGCCCACCCATTGATTGAGGGGGTAGGGAGTAGAAGGGCTCACCAAGGACTGTGGACACAGGGTAGGCCCTGGTGCCATAGGTTTCAGGCTGCTTATCACTTTTCTTGTAGGAGCATAGCCAGGAGCAGATGAGGCAGGTCGGAGAGGCTGGCCCCTCCTTTCCTCCCATTCTCTCCAGTATTTGTCTCCAGCAGTGGGAGGGGGGCTGGGACTGTGACCTTGGTGTTCTGTCTCCTCCCTCAGCCTTTGCTCACTCTCAGGGCCAAGTAGCAACCAAGCTGGGGTCCTCTCTTCAGGAGCAGGGCCACAACCTGAGAAGCAACCTTGGGGACAGGTATTGCAGTAGGCAAATATTAAACAGGTTCTGATTGCCTGGTTAGGCACAGTGGGAAATGAGAAGAACCTGGCCCAGGGAAGACTGTTGCATAGAGTTGCCATGGCCCTTGGGGTGATGACCTTGTTGAGGGGCCACTGGAAGTTTGTGCCCAAGTCTCTCCCCCACATCTTTCTCCCCAGGTGGCAATGGGGCCTTCCCCAAAGGTATTAGAAATAAGCATGATTCCTCTACCTGCAGCTCTTTTCAAGGCATCTGCCTATAGTGCCCAGTCCCCAAGGGGCCCCAGTTAGGTAGCAAGCCTATCTCATGCAGCTCTTGGGGAACCCAAAACCAGCACTAAAATAAAGCTGAATGACTGAGTCCTATGCTGTGTGGTGAACTGCTTTTCAGGCTGATGAAATCCTGCCTCCTCAGCTGTGGGAACCTGCCCCCATCACAGCATGCCCTCACTGGACCACCATTGTTGGGTTGCAGGGCAGGGAAAACCAGACCCTGATTGGCTACCTCCACTGGGCTGTTTCCCTTGGTTCTTTGGGACTGGGAGGTACAGGCAAAGACCTGGTGCCACCTAGGACAGGACTGCTCAGCAGCCTGCCACATCAGCCCCACCTTGCCTGGACTGTTCTTCTGCGCTGAAAGATGTCCCTACTTCTGGTCATTCCACTGACTAGCTCTTCTGGGCCTTGCCCAGTTCACACTTATCTCTCCACAAGCTGAACTGCTAAGAAAGACTTTATTAAGAGGTCAGGGAGGGGAGAAGGCAAGGAGCCTGGAGACGGACACACTGGTACCAGGGGTTACAAACAGTAAGAAACACTTTATTATAACTTTACAACATATAAATAGCTTGGGTCAAATCTGTGCTTTCTGGCAGCTGGGCACCAAGTCTCCTCCTCTGCAGGCTCCTGCCTTCCTTCACATTGCACTGTTCGTTGGGTGGCTCTGGCCCTGGGGCCGGTGGTAGAGGCTGGAGAAAAGGGGCTGGACAGCCCAGTCCCACTCTCCATCTCCTTGCAGGGTGGCCTGCACCTGTCATCTGCTTGGATTGCGGCTGCTGTGGAAGGACCGCTCCTCAGGGGTCAGGCCAGCAAAGAAAGGATGCAGCAGTGCCTCGGCCAGTGTGATGCGCTGGGCAGGGTCAAATTCTAACATCTTCCTCATCAGGTCAAACAGCTGCACGTGCTCCGGAGTATCTTGGAGCATGTAACTCTGCTCAGGGACACAAGGTGCCTCAGTGTGATGGCAGGGTTGTGGGGAAGCCACAGCAGGTCCCTTTGCCTCTGGGACGCCTTGCTGGACTGGGTCAAGGAGGCAGTGATACCTCCTTGGAGAACTCTACTTCACCCTCCTGGACAGTGAGCCGCTCCTTTCCTTTCATGCCTGGGTTTAACGTTTTGCTCGGAACTGGTCAGGCTACTAGGTGTCTTGCTGGGTTGGTACCTCTGCCCCACATGCAAAGTCCTGACAGGTGGGTAGAAATCACCTCTGCAAAATTCACTTGTCTGAGCACCAGATGCAGTTGACAGAGGCTTTCCGCTTCCTGGCCATGGCTAGGTCTTCCCTCCCCCTGACCTCAGTCCTGCCTATTTCTTCCCCAAATTGAGAAGAGGGTGGGACAAGAAGCAGCAGGGTCTCTGACATCTGGCTCTTCTGGTGTCCCCCAATTATATTCATAGCCACCCTGTGTGGAAGGGGTAGGGCCCCTCTGGAGCAGTTTGCAAGAAGCCCCACTGCCAGTACCCAGCAGTCTTGGGAGCCGCCTCCTACTGAGCTGAATGAGGAGGCAGCCTTAAGCTGCCTGGCCTCTCTGCTGTATGCCCAGTGCCTGGGGTCTCCTTGGCATGAGTTGAGAAACTGACCTTCAGAGGTTTGCAGTTCTCCTTCACATACCGGCCGTCAGAGCTATTTTCATCCCAAACCAGGCCCCCTTTGTAGAAATATTTCTGCTTCCTGAAAATTAAGTGGGGGAAGGGAGAGTCAGTTTGGGAGTGGTTGGGGGACAACCCTCCGGTGGGAGGAAAGGAAGAGCAGCTCAGGCCAGACCCAAGACAGTGGCAGTCTATAGACTGGCAGCAGCAAAGCCAGGGCATACAGAGAAGGCACTCAGGAACCAAGAGTGCCTGGCAAAGACTATTCAAATCCCAGTACCCTGCTGACACAGCCAAGAAGGCTCCAATGTCAGTCCTGAAAGAAGTCCTTACCTGGTTCGGTGAATCATGTGTGATGGGATGGGCCCTAGGATCTTCTCCATCATTACCAAGTGCTCTCGGTTTTCATGGGTCTGTGAAAGATCAGGGACAGAGCAAGTAGGGGTCAGTTCCAGTCTCAGACCCCTCAGGGAGAATACAGAATAAGAGAGATAGGCAAGTGCTCTCTCTGCCCCAGGAGATGCAAACCAATGAAGAGCAGTCCCAGCCTCTCTGACCTGGTGGCAGCTTGCCATCTTTTTATCTCAGGGCCAGGCTCACTCCTCAGCCCTTCAGGTAGACTTGGCCATGACTGCACACCTCTCTGTGGTTAGCTCCACTCTCTTTCCAGAATAAGCCATCTCCATGCCTTCATTTGTGCTGTTGTACCCCTGCCAAGAGTGCTCACTCCTCCTAGCATGAGACTCCTCCCTGCATGCTCAGGCTACATAGACTGCTACCTTCCCCTGAGTATACACAACACTTGAGAGCCATCCCTCTCCACAGCCATATGGGGCTTCCTAACCCAGAGTAGCAATGCCCAGGTTAGGGAAGCAATGTGCGGTACTGTACCTGGAACAGTGTGAAGCCCCGGTAGTACTCGAAGAGAATACAGCCAATACTCCAAACGTCACAGGGCTGTGCCCAGCCCAGCTCTGAAAGCCAAGACAGGGAAAGGCTGTTAAGGTCCAGTTTGTTGCTCCTAGCCTAGAGATCATCAGGCAGCTGCCATACTGGCTGGCAGAATTTAGCACAAGGCCTCTCTCAGTAAGGCTGGCTGACAAGGCCAAGTTAGAAACCTCAGTGTCCCATGACACTTGGTCTAAGACATTTTGCCTGCCCTAGGTGGCCAACTGACAGGTGTGCCACTCTTTCTGTTCATACTCCACCCCCCAAACTGTCCTGTAACCAGCCCAAGGGCTATACAGTCACTCACCAAGGATCACCTCAGGTGGGCGATAGTGACGAGTGGCCACAATGGTTGTGTGATGTTCGTGGTCAAAGGTGGCACTACCGAAGTCAGCTACTCGGATGCTGGTGTTCTTCACTGACTTCTCCTCGCAACTCTGAAGTGCAAGGCAGGCCAGCGAGGTCAGGAGTCTGTACCAGCAGGTAACCCACCCCCTTGAGAGCAGTGCCTCACCCCCATCCCCACCAGTACCTTGTGCTCGTTGTAGAGGGTTTCAAACTCAGAATTCACAAACAGGATATTCTCTGGCTTTAAATCTGTGTGAGTCAGCTGGTTCTCGTGCAAGACTGGGGAACAAAGGAAGAGGAGGGAAGTAGGCACTGAGAACCTGTGTTCTCAGGCTCTTCTGCCAGCTCTACGCCAGACCCCTCCAAAGCCAGCAGTGATACCCCAACCTGAGTAGGGAGCTGGACCTCATCTCTCTGCTGGCTTCCCTCTTAAGGGTTCCCATTCTTGAGGCCTTATAGGATTCTGATACTTTAGGAGAAGGGGGAAGACCTTTTCCATTCAAAAACTTCCCTCTTCCTCCTCTCCAGGCCTACTCATCTGTCTCCCATTTCACCAAAACTGCAGCAACAGCCTTGGAGTAGTTCTCTCTCCCCAACACCAGCTATACAATTTGCAAGGCCCACAGCAAACTGAAAATGCAGCCCCTTGTTTAAAAAATTACTAAGACTGTTAAGGTGGTAGGAAAAGCATTAAATCAAGCACGGGGTCCTATTTGATTGACTGCACGGGTCACACACCCAGGATCCCAGACCTGCCTCTCTTCTCACTAGCCCTGAGCAGCTCACCCTCCAGCACATCCTACTGACAGTGACTTCCTGGTACTTGTCACTTTCAGGCTCACAGCTACCACATAGCATTCAACAACCTCACAATATATGGCCCACCACTTCCCAGTGTGAGCCTCCCCTCCATTAGAGCTGAGTCTCAGCATGCTCTAGGCTCTAGGCCTTCACTAAACTGTCCTCCTTCCTTGGAATGCCCATCCCTGCTCCACCTGTCCAGATCCTGCACAGTCTGGCTCTAGGTCTATTGACCTCTCCATGGAGCCTTTCTGTACTGCTCCAACCATCACAGATCCTACAGCGTCGAGCACTGGTACAACCAAATGTTCTCTTCAAGGTTGGTGAGCAGATGAGGAGTGATGGTGAGACAGAGGTCTCCATGCAGTGGGATCTGTCAGGTCAGGCTTCTACCTTTTTATGCTATGCAAGATGTAGGGAGGCAGGGTCAGTAGCTTGAGTCAATTCTAGAATAGTTCTTTCCTTTTTTCTTCCTGAGTGCCTTGGGCAGAGGCAGGCCTTAGAAAGTCTCTGGAAGGGATTTTAGCCTTTCCATCCTCACTGAGGCTAGATTCCTATCTGAAGATAGAAAGCCACCTGAAGACAGAAGGCCTTTCAGTCAAAGGGGCTCTGGTATCTCTCAGGCCCAGCAGAATGGTTACCAATGTGCCAGAGCCAGTGGAGAGCAAGGTTACCAGATGACTGTGGGGTGTGGCTGCCCCATGCTCCAGGTGAAGGTAGACACTTACATCTAAGGGCATGGCAGAGCTGGTAGGCCATGTGCCGCACATGTGGTAGGGGGTAAGGCTGGAAGTTATTCTCCTTCAGGAACTCAAAGGTGTTCTTGCCCAGAAGCTCAAAGGCGATGCACATGTGACCGTGGAAGTTGAACCAGTCAGACATCAAGACACACAGGCTGAGGGAGAAGGATGGATGGGGCTCAGGCTCTGTGCTAGGGGTCTGTCTCACAACCCCCTCAGGTGAGGCCAGCACCCACTCTCTCCTAGGCCATTGGGTCATACACCGGGATACACACATGAAGAAAGAGAATCAGAGAAAGCACACATCTCCCAGGGCCGGGTGCAGTAGCTCACGCCTGTTATCCTAGCACTCTGGGAGGCCAAGGTGGGTGGATTGCCTGAGCTCACAGGTTTGAGACCAGCCAGAGCAAGAGAGAGAAGCCACCTCTAAATATAGCCGGGGGTTGTCAAGGGTGCCTGTAGTCCCAGCTACTTGGGAGGCTGAGACAAGAGAATCAATCGCTTGAGCCCAAGAGTTTTGAGGTTGCTGTGAGCTATGATGCTACGGCACTCTACTGAAAGGGTGAGAAAGTGAGACTCTGTCTCAAAAAAAAAAAAAAAAAAAGCAAAGAACACATCTCCCCACCAGCCATCACCCAGATGAGCTCTATCTAGGCAAGGAATGAACTTCCTGCATAGGAGTGGAGCAGGGGGACAGGGTTCAGGTCTAAGCTCCCCCGATTTATGACAGGGATAGGAGTTCCTAAGAAAGAGATGGAATAGTGCCAGAACATGCCACAGGACCAGTATTGCTTTTTTCAACTCACACTACTGAGGGTCTGTGCTGGATTCATCTATCTGCCCAGGCTCAGCACAGTCCTTGGAAGAAAGGGCTCAGCGTGCTGGCCAATGAAGGCCCTCCTTTGCACGCCTCCCATTATGTGAGAGCCCTGCAGAGTGCCATGTGCCCACCACAACCCAGAGAGGTCCCCTACTTCACAAATGTAGGGCTGGGAGGCCCCACTCAGAACACAGCGCCAGGTGAGGTACAGCCTAGAAGTCCAAAGGCTCCTTCTGGCAATGCTTCCTTGCCAGAGCCCGCTGGCTCTCTGAGTGTGGGGAGAAGGCACAGTGCCAAGCAGGTGATGGGAACTGCTAAGCTGCTGGGGGGTCCAAGCAGTTAGAGCTGGGGTAGACTCTTTCCACTGAAAGCTTCCCTCCCACTCCTTGCAGACACTCACAACTTATTCTCTTTGTCCTTCTCCTTGATTTTTTTGAGAACATTGATTTCTAGCCGGGCAGCCTCCCGGTACTTTCCCACGTTGCGGATGATCTTCAGGGCAACCTGAGACTTCCCTCTGGTACCCAGGAAGGAAGCAGAGGGTCTTGTCAGCAGCTGCCCAGCCCTTCTCCCACCCTCCACCCCAAACCAGCAACTCCCACCAAACACTGCTCTGGGAACGGCCTGTACTGGAAAAAGGAGATACTTGATGCCCGGCCTGCCCCATGCAATACCAGACTTTTTTTCCACCCAACAGCAAGCCCCCTGGCATTTGTGAATTAATGCTCTTTGGCCTCCGTGCCAGCCATAGGCTTTTGTGTTCTCAGCCACTGCCAGCTCCCAGGGGAGAGTGTGCACAGAGCAGCCGAGGCTAATCCTGATCACCAGCACCAGCCCAAGAGTCACATAGTAACCTAACCTTTAGGCCAGTAGGTCCCTACCGCAGCCATGCTACTCCACCCAAGATCCTTCCACCTGAGCTTCCTGAGCATGTCCTCTGCAAGTCTGAGCAAACAGCTTCCCCTGAAGTGGGGGTTCCAGGATGAAGTCAAGGTCTGATGAGAGGTGCCAGCAACAGGCTTCTCTCACTGTGAAGTCCAGGGCTACTCTCTTTACCACACCCCTCTCCAGGCCCACCTACCTGCCATCGCATCTATCAGTAACCTCAGAGTGCCAGGAACCCTTAAGTGTCCAAAGATGGTAACAGTCCCTGCACTGTATTGCATACCCCCAACACCATCCCAGTGGGCCATCTGCAGGACATGTGCAGAGAAGGAAACCTGCTGCAGAGGCTCTGCTGCCAGCCAGGATAGCCAGGGTTCAGATGCTCAGTGGGGAACTGGAATGTGGCAGCTGTGGCCCACAAAGCAATGTCCTCTGAGACCGCAGGGAGGCTGGCCTTGGTGCCTCAGGAGAAAGCCTCATGGGATGCAGAACAAAGCATCTTCTAGAGAATATTCTCTCCCTATCCCATTTTCCTAGATTCTCAGAGCAAGAAAGGCCCTCAAAGGAAAGCTTCATCCTTCAGCCTCCTACAGAATGGGTTCCCTCCATGGCACTCCAATCCCAACACGGGGAACTTACCACTTCCAAAGGCAGGCCCTTGGTATGGCTCTGAGAATAAGGCTCTTCCTTTTAGTGAGGTGAACTCTGCATAACAACCCTCACTGGCCCTGACTCCATTTGAATTCCTTAAAAATTCCCTGGATCCTGTGCCTGCCCCCTAGTGACTTCAGAGGCTCATTTTTCCTCTAGCTACTCAAGAGTGGCTTGAATCTCAGCTCTCACCTGCCACATCTTCACCTGGTCACCATCCAATCTATACATGTCCTCCACCCATTGGTACCAGCCCTAACCTCTTAAGCCATACTGGGTCCAAGGGATATTTAAATGGGAACTGGGAGTAAAGGGAAGCTTCCTCTCAAGCACTGCTGCTGCCTTATCTTGTACAAGGATGGGTGGACACCTGGGTGTGACTGTCCTCTCTGATCACCATTCTAATGTGGGAGCACTACAGTACAGTGGTACCCAGCTCCACCATCAAGTGGATTCAGGCAAATCCTAAGCAGGATTTAAAATCAGGGCCATATATGGGTGGCACCAGGCTCAAATGAGGACACTAGCATTTTGTAGCTAAAGTGCCAAACCAGTTAAAGAACCACTACAGCAGGGAGGCAGCTGGCTCCCGGGAGGTGGTTTCTCCCCACCCAGAACTACAGGAGGAAGCAAAGGTTCTAGTCTGAGGAATGCTAAGGGCACAAAATGTTGCACTGTTAGGCCTTGGAGGGAGCAGGGTGGCCCCAGCAGCAGGACACACACAGGCATACCCCACTCTTCCTAGGCACACTCAGCAGGGACCACACACTACCCTACCCTAGCCACACTGGAGAGGCAGTGGCCTGCTTGGTGAGAAAACCCAGGGTCTTGTTTCTCTCAAGTGGGACCCTCCTGGCCTCTCATGCAGACCCTCAGAGGATGAGAGCTCTTGCTTGGGCTGGGCTTAGCAGCACTCTCAACCCCTTGCCAAGCCAAGAACCTAAAAGAGATCACAAGAAGTGACTCCCAGCACAGGGGAGCCAGGACCCTAGCCCTGTTCCAATATCCACCACCACAGTCTTGAGAAGTAGAGAAACTGGGGCAGAGCCACTCAACTTATCAGCAGTTCTTGAGTAGGATGCCACATGCCTGCAAAAACCCAAGATTTTCTCCTTATTTTCAGTGGGTCAGCAAAACCCCAACATGTACAGGTCAGAACCCTACTTTGGTGCTATCCTTCAAAAAGAAAAAAGTTAAGGTCTGACAGCCACCACCCTCAAGAACCGCAGGCTAGCTCATCCCAGGAAGATCACATCCAGAGCCAGTACTGTCCCAGCCCTCACCTGGCATGATCCAAGCACTCTACCACCTTGCCAAAGGTGCCTTCGCCCAGGTTCCCCACGATCTCATCTAGGAGAGAAAAGAAGTTGGGCATAAAAGTCTGGAGGGCAGGGGGTCGGCAGCTCCTGCAAGTTCACAGCATTCAAATTCTCAAAAACAAAAAAGGTTTCTCTCTCACTGCTACACTCTTAAAAACAGAAGTTGCTAGCGTCTGCGTCATTCAGGCAATTACTGGTGGCCCCACTAAGGCACCACGAGCACTAGAGGCCCCTCCAGGCAGGAGAGGTCTTGTCTAACAAGGGGGGTAGAAAGTAGAGAGGTAAAGTTTTACGAAAGGTGGCTGTACATCGCTCTTGGAGCCAATCGCCGATCCGGCACACCAGGTGGCCCTCCTTGTCATCTTCCACACTCCGGCTGCTGCGCTTACTGCTCTGTTGGCTTCTCTGCATGCACCGCCCCCCGAAACGCCATCCGACCAATCGCATGGTAGGCGGTTCCGATTGACAGATTGAGGTGTCAGTCAAAGGCAGAGGTGGAGACGGTGAGGAGCCGGTAGGTTGGTTGGTTGGATTTTCCAGATCCCAGCATTTCATAAGGCACACAGCATATATAACGATAGGGATATTGCAAGGGACACGTCAAGACACAAACTGACTTCAAAAACAGAAAAGTAAAAACAGCTACAGGTATGTAAAGAAAACTCGGACATTATCTATGAGAGGAGTGCCGCAAACGCTCAGAAAGACGACCAGCCTCTGCTGCCGAGGGGCCGGGTGGCCACAGCCCTGACTCCCTCCTCCAAGTCTCCCCCTCCCGAACCCTCCCATAGTGGCTTTGGCCAGAGCTGAAGATGCAGTTAGAACGGCGCAAGAAGGCAGCTGGCCCAGCCTGGGTCCGACCATCCAGACTGGTCAGAAAGCTACTCTGGCTTCAGCTGCAGAATGCCCAGCTGTGCTCGCCTGCCTCTGCTGACCACGCAGCCTTGCACATCCCTGACAGCTGCCACTGAGAGCCAACTGCTACCTGCCCCTGATGGCCTCCTTGGCCAGACTTAACCATCACTACCAGAAATGGCCTTCTGTCAGCAGCCTTCCTGCCACTAGTCTCCAGTAGGAAAGGAGCCTGGGATCCTCTGGGCTGGTTGACCTCCAGGCCTTCTACCACAATGGCCCACACAGGCCTCATGCCAGCTCCTGCCCTCGCCTTGGCGCCTGTGCTATTCACAATCCAGGCCTATCCCAAGCCTCACGACGACAGAGGGCACCAAAAAGAGAAGAAGCAGAGCCAGACTTGCAGTGCCGTCCTGTGGCAGTGTGTGGCAGTGTGCAGAGAGGCCACCAGGCCATGCTGGACAGGCCCACACAGAGTCAACCCTCAATCCATGGCCACTCAAAGAAATCACAGAAGACAGCTGGGCAGAGAAGATGCCTGGGCCCTCCATGGCTCCGCAGGGATTTCATGACCAGTAGGAGGAAGGGAGGCAGGGAAGTGGGATGAGGGAAGAAGAGAAGAGCGCACGTCACCTCAGAAATATACCATTGGTTTGCCTTCCCCAGGGGACCAAGTGCAGGGGGGCTCCTGGTCTCAGCAGAGACCTGCAACTCTCTAGAAACACTGGCCAGGCCCCACCCCACAAGGCCAGGTGGCCTGGGGTATGGGCCTTTCAGCCATTTCTTCACACATCCATTAAAAAGGAAGCTGCCCCTCCTCACTGTAATTGTCCCTCACATAAAGAGGCTGGGCTGGAGGTCAGAAGGGATCCTCCCCTCCTGTGGGACACAAAAGCCTCCTGGCCTTTGGGAAGGGATGTGGCGATGAGCCTGCAGAGGTAGGTGCTGTCCACACCAATCAGAGCACTCAGCTACACAGAGGAGCAGTCTCTGGGTGGGAAGGCCCATGCCATTTAGCTGCAGACCACATATCAGCAACACTACTAGGATCCCCAAGAAATGTCCCTGGCCACTTGCACCATGTGGCCTATGTCTGAAGCAGTGTGTAGACAGAGATAGGCTGGGGGGTGATGGGGGAAGCCAGCGACGGAGCCAGAGCCCCTAAAGCTGCCCCTGGCAAGGGGCTGGAAGACAAAGTAGCTGGAACCCCCTGCTGAGTCCTGCACCTGGACCAGACGACACATACACACACACATGCACACACACCAGCGCATGTGCGCAAGGCTGGCAGTACTCACCCAGACCAGCCAGCCTGAGAAGGCTAGAAAGAGATGAGGCTGGTAAGCCCCAGCCAGCACACTCTGGCCACCACTCACCGAGGAGGCGCTGCTACAAGACCTGGTGCGGCGTTTGTGGCAGTGGTGGGCATGCTTGCGGGTCCGGTATGGCCCCCTCTCCCGTGACCGCCGACGATGACGAGAACGGGAAGATCCATAGCAGTCCTCTCCAAAGGATGGGCTCCGCTCTTCACACCGGTAGGTATCACTGTCACGGTGGTAAGTATCACTGTCACGGCGGTAAGTATCACTGTCACGGCGCTCCCGGTATCTCCTCTGGTAGGGTAGGCGGTCATGACTGCCAAAAAGGAGTTGGGGACACTGGTCAGATGGCCTGGTAGAGGTCTGTGTTAGGACCCCTGAAAAGGACTCACAGAGAGTGCCTGATGAAGAAGCATTCAGACTGGTGACAGGTGGGCAGGAAAGGGCAAGATGCAAAGGTACAGGGGTTGTCCACCAGAGACATGGCTCATGATGGCATTCTTCAGTTGCTACGGAAGGAAAACACATGGGGGCAGGGGAGTTGTAAGCACAGAGGAGTTCACTGTGGCCTGCTGTGACTGTAACTTTGGCTTACAGGCTGAAATAAGACCAAGGAACAACCTTTCTAGGGGTAAGGTTATGTTCCTAATCTTCACTGAGGAAGGTTCAAAAGACTAGCAGGGGAGATGCTGGCCTAGAAAACAGGGGCATATATAGGGAAAAGGAGAGAAAGGACACTCCAGGACAGAGAAAGAAAAGGCAGCATGGATAGTGGCTACTGCTGAGGCCAGGGCGTACAGGTGAGATTAGGGAAGGAGCCCCAATAGAACAAGGCAAGGATCCAGGGCAGCTGGGCAAGGGCAGAGTCACCTCAAGGAGTCTTATCTGGCTAGTCCCCCTGAGGGAAGGAGCCCTTGCTTCCTACTTAGTTCCTTCTCACCTTCTGGACCGAGACCTCCGGGGGGGAGGCTCCCTTCGGGATGGGTATCGTAGTCTCCCTTCGTGTTCCCGACTGTAAGATCTCCTCCTCTTCCATCGGTAGCTCAGGTATGGGTCTGGCTCAGGGGAGCGGTATCGCTTACAGTGATGCATCTAGGGCAAGAGAAATAAAAAGCCCTGCTAAATACATAGCCAGCCACCTCCAGCCACGAGGCTGCGTGGGGCAGCCCACTTGCTCCTAAAGAAGAGGCCCATTGTTCTATTTGGGGGCAGCCCCTCCCAGGGGTTTATGAAGTGAAGAAGAACTCTGAGGTCACACTGGTCAAACAGTGGACAATGGGTAACACCCTTCTCTGCCAGTGAATAAACAGCAGCCTCCCAGGAAAGCACTACTGGCCTAGTGGCCTGAGCACTCAGGAAATGGGTGAGCCAGGGCCCAGGTGGTGAGGCAGGGACTCAAAGTGGAGATCATGGGCACTGTCATAGGGAGACTAAAGACAGGGAGACAAGGGAGCCGCCTATGTTCTATTCTCTCCTGCCTTAAGGGGGTTCCATGAAGCAATTGCTCTGTAAAACCAGAGGCCAAAGGGCTGCTGGCATGGAGCCAACACGTGGGAGTGTGGGGTCAGAGCCCTCCAGTTTGAGAAGCTGAAAGTTGCCTGGTTTAGGCCCTGAATGGGACTCCACTGAAGGGAGTAAGGACTATAAGTCAGTATAAGGAGCCACAGCAGAAATGCAAAGACCAGCCCTTGGAGGAAGAGGCACACAGCATCTCATAAATATTCTCCGTCCACCTGAAGGTCTACCCAAGTAAATGTGGGTGGGGCTCTGTCCAGGACTTGCTGGTTCCTACTTGGTCTCACCACACCAGTGAGGACTTCAGAGTCCTCAGAATACCCAAGTTTCTTGTCCAAGGCCCACTAAGCACCCTTCTGACCACCTGCAGTACCAGGCCAGGTGCCTCACCTTTATCCAATCGTACTATTACTGTCCCTCTTCTAGCTCCCCTGCTTCAGTACCTTCTTCTATGCCCATCTCAGAACTAGCCTGGCAGGCCAAAAGAGCCCCCCACTCACTATGCCTGTTCAGTGAGAACTTAGAGCCACCACAGGAAATTGCCAGACTGGATCAGTCACCAGCTGAGAAAGTTAGCTATGTGAAAACAGCTCCCTGCTCCACTTACAACCAAACTCCTGACACTGTCTCCATGGAAAGGCTGGGCCAGAGACCACCCCCACACCTTCTTTCCAACCTTTCACTCGGCTATAGCTGATCTCTAGTCACACTCAGGCCTGGGTTGGCTAACCAAACACATTTGTTTGTTTGTTTTTGAGACAGAGTTTCAAGCTGTCACCCTGGGTAGAGTGCCCTGGCATCATAACTCACAGCAACCTCCAACTCTTGGGCTCAAAAGATCTTCTTGCCTCAGTTTTTCTATATTGAGTAGAGATGGGGTCTCATGTTTGCTCAGGCTGGTCTCGAACTCATGAACTCAAGCAATCCACCTGCCTCAACCTCCCAGAGTACTAGGATCACAGGAGTGAGCCACCACGCCCAGCCTACCAAGCACATTTTGGATGACCTTCATTAAGGCTCCCCCATCTTATCAGCTAGGTCTGTCAAGAGAAAAACAGCACAGAATGGATCCCTATGAAGGAAGGAACAGGACAGTAAGGCTTACCCCACCAAACCCAGAGGCACTTCTCCATGATTAGAAAAAGTCATGCCCTCAGTCTCCTCACTAGCTACCACTCTGTCAGCCTGTGAAATCCTTGGAGATAAACACTAGGTAAAATCACAACACTTCCCCAAGAGCTCAGATTGGTTGTTTTGATGATCAGCAAACTTAATGTTTCACTATTTTCCTGCAATTACCCTGGGTCAGGTGCCCAAGCTATGGCCTGTCTCACATCTCACTAATTGAACCAGAAGATGCTCCACTGGTGAGCACATACACCCTCCCACAGGCAAATGTGGTCCTGTCCATCCTCACTAAACAGACAAAGCATCAGAGCTAGAGGATGTGTTCTAGCCCACATCAGGTAAAGTCCTAGGACCTAGAAGATCCACGTTCACATGAGTGGAAAAAGCACAGCTTCAGAGTCAGAGAAATGTCAACCTGAATCGTGGCAATGCCACTTCTAGAGGTGTGCCTTTGGGCAAGTTATAAAACTACTCTTGACCTTCCATTTCCTCTTGTGACAAGAGACTAATAATCTCTTACAAGGCTCTAAAGGATTAAATATGTCTCTCCTGTAAATCAAATGCCTGGCACAGGTTTATGCCCACAGAAATACAAAAGACAGCTTTCCATTAACATTAAAAAGTTCCAGGTTAATACCTCAAGGCTCTGTAAAGTGTCTTAAGGACATTTTATAAGTCGCTTCTAAGGAACCCACGAAGAGAGAGCTCTGGGAGAAAACCCTAAACTAAATTCAAGTGCTGCCACTTACTGGCCTCACGGGTTATCAAGTCTGGAAAACGAAAATAACCTCTCCTAGCCTGGCAAAGGAGAAGACAAGTATGAGAGCTATACAGTACCATGTGCAAGGCAATAAGAGAAGATCGTCCCTCTAACACATTCTCGGCAGGTAAAATGTTGGAAATACTAGACGTCCATCCTCCCAGGCAGGGCTCTAGAGCCCACTTCCCCTGAACTGTCTGATTCTTTGAAACCTCAGCAAACAGGCTGTTTAAAGCTAAGGGCCACAATTAGGCTTTGGGAGGCTCTGCTCTGCACAATGAAGAAAAAGGCAATGTGAAAGAAACCACCGCAAGCCTGCCAACTTTTCTTTGAGCACAGGCCTTGCCGGCTTCTCATTTGCTGTTCCTGGCCAGAGAACTGGGCTGACAAGAAGAGCAGCCAGCCAGGTCAGCGGCTGCCCTCCTGGATTCCAGCCACCCCAGCGCCCCATGGTTATTTTTGGCTGGCAGTGCCCCACCACTGCAACCTCAATCCTGCCACCTCTTAAGGCGCCACCACCAACGGGTGAAACACTCCTTTTCAAGGGCATGGAGGAGGGAAGCTGGAAGGCGACCAACTCCGCCTCGATGGGGGCCTGGCTCAGATGATTCCCACCCAAGCTCCACACCAGCGCACCCACACCCGGAACTAAAGCACAGAGACTCCAGGGCTGAAGAAAGAAGTAGCCTGGTCATCTGTACTGTCACTTTGGCTCGGCCCGGCCCATCCCCCGGGCTGGAGCGGCTCCATCATCACAATGAAACACGCAGGGGACCTGCGACCCTCGCTGGCGTCCCTTCCTGCCACCCTGGGTACCAGCCATCTGAGTCCCATCCCCCGTAACCGCCACCAGTGGCACTGAGGGGAGACCCGGGGCAGACCCGGGGCAGGGAGAAGGCCAGACTAGGCCAGAATCAAACTCCAGCTCGCGCGGGGTGGAAGAGCCTGCAGACCAAGCCTCGAGCCGAGGGTAGGGAAGAGTCTGAAGGCCCTTTCTGGCTATCCTACTTCAGATCCCAACCCTAATCAGCAGGTAGGCGCAAGGCCGAAACTGGGCCCTTGACGGCGCCTCAGAAACTGCTTGGGCCCCGCCTTCAACACCGCGGGACCAAGAGGTCGGGGTCTGCAGTGACCGCCCTCCGAGGGAGAAGTGGCGGGTCAGGGGTGAGAGGTCGGGGCCGCAGCCTGAGGTATGCCAAAGAGGAGAAAGATTGGAAGTAGGCTAAGGCCGAACTGGGAGCCTGAGGACGACACCATCGCGTCCGCCCCGCCAACTCACCCCCAGCCGCCGCCGCCGCCGCCGCCGTCGCGGGTCCCGGCCCTCACTCACCGTCTCCCAGGCTCCGGCGGCTGCTAGGCCCCACTCCCCACTCCGAGCGCCTCTTCCGCTTCCGGCTCCGGCCTCCGCCCGTGGCGGCCCCGCCCCCTCGCGTGACGCAGCCGTAGCTAGCCCTGGCGCGGCCTGGTTCTGGGGCCTGGCCGCTCTAGCCCGCGACTCGAAGGCTCTAGAGCGCCAGTCCTCTCCGCTCCGGTTGGTTCGGCGGCTGTGTAGACTAGTTCCGAGATAGTCGAGCGGACATCCTCGGTGCGGCCAGCCCCTTGCCGTGTCGCGACGCACGTAGGCTCCCGGACCAGGCAGGTGCGCTTCTCGGCCCAGCTGGACACTTGGAGCCGGAAGGTGGAGCCCCCACACAGCCGTGGGGCTCGGCCAGCTCTGCTGCCCAGACCCAGCCATGTCCACTAACTCCTTCTTGCGCGCGGAGACAGCGGGCATTGTTCCCTGGGGGCCCGACGGCGCTAGAGACGGTAGAGGTCGTCCGTGCTCTGGAGCTCCGGAAGACTGGCGCGACTCCGCTTGCGTGAAAGAAACAAACGTCGCGTTATTCGTTTGGTGTGTGCGGGTTTTTTGAAAGCGGTGGAGACGCCGGAGCTCGCCTGTGCAATGCAAGGCAGTTTCACCCGCGAGCCACGACAGTAGGGTCTCTTGGAGCGGCCAGGATCTGGGGGAAGAGGCGAGCCCCTTTTCCTCGAGCACCTTTGGCGTGACTTACTGCCGGCCAGCATCGTTTCTCAGTTAAGAAACCCCAGCCAAACGAGCCCCGTACCCTGCTGGCCTTTTCTCTGAGTCACTTGACGAACCCCTTTTGCGGAGGCATCGAGCGTTGGGGTCACCAAAACCTGTCGTCCCCCGTTTGGTCAGGGCGGGATTACGAGGCCCCACTTTCCATAGGAGAAAACCAAGGTCGGGGTGCTATGGGCGACCTCACTTTGTGAGCGTGCGCAGCCTGCCGGGTCCTGGGGTGGCATCCCCGCCCCCGGCTGCTGCGCGTCATACAGCGGAGCAGGCCGGCTCGGCCCCTAATTGCCCCTACGCCACGCGAGGGCTAGGAACTCGCAGCCGGTGCAGGTTATCAGTCCGGATACCACTCCCTATTCAGCACGGCTACGGTGGGGTAGCTAGGGCTTCCCCAGACCGCGCAGCGCCCCTGACATGGAACGCGGTCTCTACGCCTGGGCAAGCGCTGTCGTGGCACAGCCCCTTCCAGAGCTGTGACTGTGCCTCTAGCCATTTGCCTCTGGCTCCCCTTGAGACTAGGCTATGACGGCGTGGCTTGAGGGATCTCTCTCTCTTTTTTTTTTTTTAAGAGACACGCGAGTGTCACTTTATCGCCTTCGGTAGAGTGCTGTGGCGTCACAGCTCACAGCAACCTCCAACTCCTGGGCTTAGGTGAGTCTCCTGGCTCAGCCTCCCAAGTAACTGGGACAACAGAACGCTCGGCTTTTTTTTTGTTTGCAGTTTGGCCTGGGGCCGAGTTCGAACCCACCACTCTCGGTATATGGGGCCAAGGCCCCATTGAGGGGGGCTCTAATACCCCAAATCTCTTGTTAGTTCCACCACCCCCGCCCGAAGTAAACAACAGAAGCTAATTAAAAACTAGATCCTTAGCCGGGCAGAGTGGCCCACGCCTATAATCCTACTACTGTGGGAGGCTGAGGGGGGTGGATTGCGTGAGCTCACAGGTTTGAAACCAACCTAAACCAGAGGGAGACCCCATCTCTAAAAACAACTGGGTGTTGTAGCAGGCATCTTTAGCCCCAGCTACTTGGGAGACGGGGACAAGAGAATCACCTGAACCCAAGAGTTTGAGGTTGCTGTAAGCTATGACTCCATGGCACTCCAAGGAGGGTGACAAAGTGAAACTGTCTCAAAAAAAAAAAAAAAAAAAAAAA